CTTGTGGCACCCTTTTACCCGAGCACTTCCCACACCTTTGGAAACTTCCCCGACTGAAGCCTTAACCCCTGGAGAGCAATTATTTAAACGGGGGAATTGAGCCGGGGAGGTTTTAGGCACTAACCGGGCTGGACGGACTGGCTTAGATCAGAGCTGGGAAGGGAAGGCTGTTCCCTCTCCAACGACGTTTTAATTAAACAACACCGCTTTTCTGTCTGAGCATACATTAATTATACGGATTACCTGCAACACGGGCAGTCGCTTTAGACGGTCCTCGCTGAACTCGTTTAGCTCATTAGAGCGACAGGATCGCAGGCTGCAGAAGCGGCTGCGTTCAGGCCAGAACTGAGCAGGCTCTGAGGTTTAGCAGACAAAATTATAAGGAGGTACGACGGCTGGGAGCTGGTGCTACGTCAGAATCGAAGTGCGAGCTTTCAGCACGCTGGGGCAGGCACACACGGGGCAGCTTACCCCACAGCAGGTGCATTTCCCATCCCTGAATTTTTGAGATTGAAGAACGAAGGGAGAGGCTTCCCAAGTAGAAATTAATGCAGAGAAATTCTCCTGACCTACTTTCTGTGGGGCAGGAGGTCGGTGGTCGTTCCTGGATTCCTGACCTACAGAAATGCCCAGCGCACGCTTTCAGGCGCAGCGGTCCCTGGGAGAAGCCATTCCTTGGGTTGACACATTGCTTCTCCCAGAATTACCAATTCGAGAGGAAAACCCAAGTGCCTGACTGAAGTCGCTCAGGTAGGACTTGAGCAGGTTTGCAAGGCCAAGACTCAGACAGACCTTCTGAAACGTATGCCCGAATTTCCTGCCGATAAAGTCATCGATCTCCCAGTCCCAGGGCTATTCTCCAGGGCAGGAGAGTCAGCAGACGGCATTTCGTAACGCGCTGGCTCCGCAGGCCAAGATGGCTTTGAAGATGAGAGCAGTCACAGCCGTTGCCTACGTGCGACGCACGCCCACAGCCCACCAAGGAAGGAAAAACCGCCTTGCGTGATACCTGAGCACAGGCTCGATAAACGCAGTTGCTTTGGTGCTCCAGGACGCGCGAGGCTTTTTGCAACTCCTCCAAAAGGCGCGCCTTTCTCAGCTGGGCTTCGTGAAAGCTAGATTGAATTTACTGTAAAACTTAAGTGCTGCTGCTGACGATTTTGCCCGGCCTCCGATTCATCTACCCAGATAAAACCACACACAGCGTTCAGCGCGGGGCGACGAGAAGAAAGCCTATGAAACTACTAAAAGCGTATTTGCAAGAAACCAGGACACACATTACAAGCCGATTTCCACCAGTGATTGCGAACACGGCTGCAGCAAACACAGCTCGGGTACCTTGGGGACTTGTACTGAAAAAAAAGTCCCAAGAAGCAGAAGTAGATCTTTTTTTTCAATTACGAAAAGTGAAAGCCCCGTAACAGTTAGTCGACACCACTGAATCTGCCCTAGACCAGGGGATGCAATTAGTAAAGTTAATTTCAAACGTGGAGCAGGCACAAGATCTCACCCACTCCACTCGCTTTTCCACAGCGGGAGGGAGAGATTTCGTCGTCAAACTCCTCTGGAGGCGTTGCGTTTAGAAAGGGCCGACTCTACTTCCAAATGCCAGACCCAAATGCCACAAAACTTGGACGCACACTTCTAATTACAGCCCGGATCGCTACGCGTGTGCTGGAGTGGCTTTTGTGAAAATATCATTTTAAAATGTTAAGGTAAGTGACCCGGCCTGCTCGCACCATGTGGCTTTGGTCAAGGCTGACATCTTTTCAGCGTTTTTCTCTTCCCGACCTTCCGCAATTGCTGGAAACGCTCACTTGGGCAGAGAAACACTTCTAAGCAGAAGCCGAGAACCTGCTAAAGAGATTTTCCGCAGAGCCGAGCCGCAGCAGGACACCAGCTCTGGCGAGACCTCGGTGCCGCAGTTATGGGCGGCCAGATTCCAAAATACGGGATGGGTGTATTAAGGAGATGCATGTTTTCTCGAGAATCACCTGCCTACCACAGTGGCTTTCTTGCTACAAATTCAGGAGTTTTACATCCTTTCAGATTTAGAGGACAGCGTTTCAGTGACCACGCTCTCTCAAGCCTCCTCACCTGCAGCCAGGAGCTCAGCAGCTCCCCAAGAGCTGTTCCACATGCAAGCAAAAAAAATCTAGTCCCCCTCCCCACAAGACAACTGGAATTTTTTTCTGTTGAAAAAAGCAATGGCCCACACCTCTGAATCCAACAATTCATTCACCACGAAAGTAACCGGTTCCTACTCAACCCCTAGATTCAAGCCGTGGGAGCCCAGCAGCGTAGCCAAGTTCAAACACCTTTTCTTCCTTTTTAAGCCCAGATGCTTCCAGAGCATGAAGCATTAAGCGGCACAAATCTTAACTACAAGTTAAACTAAAAGTGTAACCCAGCTGATGCTTCCCCGATGCAGTGTAGGAATCCTGCCTGTCCAGCCTAGCTAGCTGCAACAGCATCTCTGACAACGCTGCAACTTCTATATGGATCAAGGGTTTTTTTAAAGTATTTTTCAGCCCCCGGTTTAGTTGCAGGTACCCAAGCTTGCCAGGCAAGAAAGCAAACAGCACTTACTTTGCAGAAACTCAAAAGCCGGTGAGTGGGAATCCGATCATGCTCTCTTCCTTGCCAGCCAACCTGGAGAATTTAGTTTCTTTTCTCCCACAGAGTTATTCCTGATTAGCGGTTCCCGAACATTTCAAACGTCTTGCTCTGAGCTCTCCCGCTCCTCCCGAGCTGCTTCTAGAGCAGCCAGCTCTGAGCAGACACCATGCAGCACACACCGCAGCTCGCTTCCTGGCCTGCAGAGGTGGTTGCTTCACGCAATGGTAGGCTGGGTTCCTCCCCGCCTCGGCTGCGAGCAGCCACAGACGGGCTCTGCAGGCACCCGGCACACAAGAGCACCCTCTGCCGCGCTCCGCTTCCCACCGAGCTGGTTTTGGTGCCAGCTCTCTAGCCGCAGGTGAATATAAGGGAAGAACGGGTCGCCACACGTCATCGTTACCTTGCAAATGAACGCCTTACAAGGACAGAGGGGGGAAAAATAAAAACCAACTTTATTCACCAGGGACGTGAACCGTCTTGGGTGGGAGGCAGCAGCCATTCGAATAGGAGTCTGACAAGTAAGGCTGTGGAAATCCCAAGGAAGGGTCGAAATACGATTCAGCCAAGACACGGGGCTAATACACCCAATTCTTAAAGAGAGGATGATGTTAAATAGTGTCAGAGCACAAAACAAACCCAAGAAATTTCACCCCCAGCTCAGCTCACCAGTCATGGGCCACTTCAGCAAGCACCCATGCTAAGCTGGGCACATTAATCCTTGTCACCACTCAACACTTGAGTGTGGAAAACAAACAGTCATTTATGAGGGAAGGGCACTGAGCAACCATTGTTAAACCCTTGAGTTAAGCCCAGTGCCTGGAGAACACGAATTCGGAACAATGAAGATAGTAGGGCCAATTTAATTAGAACCCCATGGATGCTGAAGTGCTCAAGGCAGCCCACGCCACCTTTCACATCTACACGGCGCTCACCGAAGCAGGATCCAAGTGCGTTCCGAGAGGAGAGAGTCTAACAAGTTTCCTGAAGATTTTGTTCTTGTTTACTTTTGCTGCCGCTCTGTGTTTTCTGAGCTGTGTCTGCAGCAACGCTAAATCCCACATGACTTGATCAACCCTGATTGTATCTCCTTCAGCCTTAGATTTTCTGGTTAGATCGGCAGCCTGACCCTACCAGTAGGTGCAGCCCTGCCCAGGCTGACAGCTTTCTGTTTCTTAGGAACGGATAAAAAAACCAAAAGTGGTACTAAAGGAGCAAAACTTTTCATTACAAAAATGACTCACAGAATAAAAGGAAATTGATTTCTTAAATTAAAAAAAAAAAGTGTCCTTAAGATACTGGCACGAAATTGCGAACAATTTTTTTTTTTTTTTTTAAAAAGCAGTTACAATGCACAAGTCCCACTAGAAACAGAGTCTGAGGAAACCACCATCTCCTCTGGGGCAAGGACTGGCTGCCGCCAACGCAGAATGTAACGTAGGGGAGAAGACATGCTTCCTGTCCAAGACTCTCCGCGCTGCAGGGAAGGGCACTTTGCCTGCGTGGCCTGCTTCCAGCACAGCCTGGAGCCCTCGCACAGACAGGGCCGCATGCTGGGCACATACAGACCTCCTGATCTTTGCGCTCATCTGGGGCCCAGTCCGACCTGGATCTGGGTCCTGAGGGTTTTTTTTTTTAATAAAAGGACCCGTGTTCAGTGAGCCACCTAGGACAGAAAAACTCAAGTAATGATGGCAAAAAGCACAAGGTTCCCTGCGGAGCTGTTCCTAGCTAGGAGGTGTGAGAATCCGTTACTCTGCTGTCTTATTCCCCCCAGCTTTGGCACTCTACTTGTGGAACCACGTGGCTTTCCATGCCAAGTCAATGACTTAGGCTATAGCGTGTCCTAGGGATACTCTTACAGTCCAACTGATGAAATCTGATGCTTGAGGCCACTAGTACCCACCTCCAAGCTGCCAGTTTTCTGTCTATTCATTACACTAGGGCTACAAGGAACTGCTCCCAAAAAACCTCCCAGTTCTCAGATAAATCCCATCGCAAAAACCAGAAGGTAGAGAGCAGCTGAAGCGATTTGCCTTTGTTGTTTTCACCCAGCACAAGCCTCTTCTGCTTTGCCAGCGTGTGCTCGGGACCCTGCCAGCACTTGTGTTTGTCAGTTGGGTGCAAACACAAGCCACAGTTGATGGCAGGATGTGGGGCTTTCAAAGCCCCTTCAGCTGGTTCGTAGCCAGCAATGTTATCACCTGAGTAGCTACAGACTCTGGATGGAGGTGCTACTGCAGCGATAACAGAGGAAAGAAGTGTGCAAGAGAGCAGAGAACCATATTTCTTGTAGCTAGTCCTTACACAAGGCTCAGGCTTACTGAATGCTTTCAGGGCTGGACAGATGGGCACTCCTCCCCCTCCCAGCAGAGCTCAGAAGCATTTAAGTTTAGAAAATGCTGCTTTTCAGCCCAGTTTTCAAGCTGGGCGGCCTGAGGCCCAGAGGAGCAGGACGGCTCACCCAGGCTCTGAGGCCACCAGGGCTGGCTAGAAGGACAATCACTGCAGTCAAACGCCTTCCTCGGAGACTAGAACTCGGTCATCTTCTTATGCGTGTCTGCTTTCTTCTGCTCCCGCTGCAGGCTGGCTTCCTGGGCCTGCAGCTGCCCCAGCTGTTTGTGCGCATTAGCTAGCTTCTCCTCTAGCTGAGCTGTAGCAACACTGTGCCTGGAAGCAAAAAACATTATGGCAATGTCATCCTGCACGGTAAGATCAAAGGCTTGTCATCATCCCCGGAGGGTCTGCCCTTTCCGGCAGGATTAGCGTAAGTGACCTGCTGAAAGCCAGGAAGAACCTGGTGCTCAGCACAATCGGGGCTAGCAAATGTCCTCCTGCGATGCTCAACAGCAACGCTGCAGAGATGGGCATGGGAAGGAAAGGACCTTTCCTCAGAGAGCTCCTCTCTTTCCCACAGCCTGAATTCCAGCCAAAGGACCCCAGACACATCTGCTAGCGTCCAAGCTGGTCTGAAGCACAACTAAAGTCTCTCTCTTCCACCTCCCCTCAGGTCTCATCCAGATACGTTTCACTTGTTCCTCCTACACCTCATTTCAAGCCCACCCTTTCCCAGAAGGACCAGGAATTCTCAGTTCATCCTGCAGTCCCAAAGAGAACGTTTTCCTACCGTCCAATGTTGCGTGCCAGGGCCTGCTGGATTCCTTTGATATCCCTCTGTGTTTGTTCAATCTTCTCCATTGTCTGGAAGAGGCGGACACTCAGGGCTTTCTTGGTGCTCTTGCTAGCATGGTAGATCTCTTTGCTGTTCCTCTCTGGCAGTGCCATCCCTCCAGCCTTCTCCCCAGCGCTCTTCCCTCGCAGTTTCTCATTCAAAAAGTCAAACACGTTGCGGGGAGGCTTACGACCACCCGCAGGGGATTGTCCAGAGATGTTTCCCTTTGCTCGGCATTTCCTCGATTTGCCTGGGTCCAGCTTCCCCTGTTTCTTCTTCTGAAGCACCTCAGCACACTGGTCAAGAGACTTCCCTCGAGGAAGTACCACAGCCTGCACCGGCTCCACGCGGCCCTCAGAATTCTTCCCTAACCCTGAGGAAAGACACCAAGCGATTACTGCAAGCGAGGACATCCTCTCGCGTCACCTCCCACCACAAGTTCACGCTGACAGTAACAGGCTTGGAACAAGCAAACAGGCTTTCGAGGTACGAAAAGCAATGATGACCACCCAAGTCAAGGGGAGCAGCAAAAGCATGGCGGATGCGGATGCTACGACAGGAGCCTTCTACAGCAGAAGATATGCGATAAAAAGCCCGAGGCCATCCATCAGGCCAGTTTCTGTGAAACTAGGTTCAGCCTCACATTCTCAGCTTCTCAAGCCAGGTTCTTCTTAAAACTGGTTTGGTTCCTCTGGGAGAACTAGAGACAAATGCAAGTAGCAGACTGCCCTCCTAAAGCCCCCAAGGCTCAATACAATTTGTGTAGCGAGAAGCTAGTTC